AGGGAAAAAAGGGAAAGGGAAAGGAAAGGATTTGTAGTCCAACCCTGAAAAATATTTGGTTCTTAAAATGCCTGGTTATCTGCAAAAAAGGTCATAAAATTGAAACAGACACGTGATAACCTCTTAATGCATGACTTGTGACCATAATTCCAGGCTCATAGTAAGGTGTAATTGACATAATGGAAAAGCTGATCCTTTGCTTGGATTGACAGGTGGTAGGTATTTAGAGGAACTGTCACATAAAGTTCAATATACAGTATTATAGTACACAAAAACTGAGATATGGTGTCCAGCAGTTTTAATCTTTATAATCTGATCTGAGGACAATTGTACTAACTAGTTGCATCTTTCAAAAGGAAACAGACCTATTAAACAATAAGGAGAGTGTTCTCCCAAAAATATAATGAATTCCTAAGAAGTGGGAATCCAAAATGCCTACTGGTTGTAACTGGTTGCATGGGGGGTAGATATAGGAACTAACAGTACTTTGACTTTTAAAGAATGGGCTTTCTTATGTTCCAAACCCCACTCTGTCAATGATGACATCAACTGACCTTCTAATGATGCAGTAGTATTCCACAGCAGTTGAAAAACAGTTAAAAGACTCAGACAAAGCAAGTCACCTGCAGTCTAGCAATGGCGGAGGATGCAAGACCCCGTTGAAAAGTCTCAGAAAAACAGTAAAGAAATGCTATCAAAAGATGGTAGAAGACCTGGGATCTGTTGTCTCTGCTGTTCTTGTATTGGGGGCTTGGTAAATATTGTAATAGAAGATTAAGATGTTTTATGTTCATTCCTGAATATTTCTATATGGGTTGAGCTTCAGTGGAAAAGTTTGATAGCAAACTGCTTCCTAATAAGCTTCAGACTGCACTTTGGGGACATTTTTCAATTCAGGAACCAAATGCAATAATTCGTAAAAATGGATCAGGAGACCTGGTACGATGATTATGTTTATATCCCACCTTTAATTTGTCCAAATTATGACAGTATACATAAAGTTCCTGCCTTCTATTTTCCCCAGAACAACTGTCCTGTGATTGAACTAAAAGACTGAGTAGTCCAAAGTCTTCCAACCAACTTTCATGATCTTCAAACTGACTATTTATTAATATTTTTTTTTAATCACTACCAGTAATGAGGAAAATATTTATTTTGTCAAATGCATCACTCTTATCATTGGGAAAAAATAATGATGCATTTTCCTTTTTTACTAATTCTAGTGGAATAAATAACATCACTTCCACAATTATCATGGTTTGGGGCCAACATTGTGGATATGCTGGGGGGAAAAGGAAACTTTGCATCTTGCAAATCCTCTGTTATATTTGTTTTTGCCCCACTTAGCATCACTAGTAGAACATCAAATCTGAAATATAATCCATAGATATTACCCAGTAATGGGCCTTCTTGTCTGCCAAAGGAATGGTACTTATGGTCAGTTTCTGGCAAGGATATAGTTGTTCTTTAATATTTATAAAAAGATACTTCTTTTTTAAAATCACAAAAGTATCACTTTTAAACATGTTTATCAAAGTCATATTTTATATTTAAAGTGGTTTCATTTTACAGGTAGTTAAGATAAAATTTGCTTTATATGTAGCAATATTTATTGTTAAGTGGACTGTCATGAGAAAAAATATTAAATTAATTCACTATTGGAACACACAATCCCATGATTCTTACTTGGTTGTGTAAACAATTGTAAGTTAACCTGATCTTTGAAGTAAGATAAAGAACCCATTCTTTATGTTATTTGGAAAATTAAGAAAAAACGTATTTATCCTGATATAAGTGAAGTTTGAGACCTTTCTTTGTTAATTTCTTTTCTCTTTCTGTTGATTTTTATAACAAAGAATCTTACAAATTACACCATAGAATTTAGAATGGTGTATAAATTTGTCCTTTGGTTTAAAGTTAAGAGATTGTTCTGTCTTTAAAAATTAATTTATTAAATTTTACCTTAGGGGAATCACTCGACATATATCCACATATTCACTGTAGATTAGTAAATCAGGTCCTATTGATATCACTAGATGCAATTTAGAACTACAGCTTTATCTTCCAAAAATATACTCTAAACTTTACACATCAAATAATGACAAGGACATATATAATTACTTCCCAAAACATGTATCCGATTTATTAATTAATTAAAACGTTGGAAATGTTTACAGTCCATCTCAAACTGCCCAAGGAGCTGCTGATACAGTTCTATAGAGGAATTATTGAGTCTGTCATCGGTACCGCTATAACTGTCTGGTTTGATTGTGCAACCCAACAGGACAGACACAGATTTCAGAGGATAATTAGGACTGCAGAAAAAACAATTACTACCACCCTGCCTTCAATTGAGGACCTGTATACTGCACGAGTCAAAAAGAGGGCTGTGAAAATATTTACAGACCCCTCACATGCCGGACAAAACTATTTCAATTCCTTCCCTCAAAATGATGCACTGCACACCAGAACAACTAGACACAAGGAGTTTTTCCCCAAACACCATTCAACTCTGCTAAACAAATGATTTCCTCAACACTGTCCAACTTTTTACAAAGTCTGCACTACTATTACTATTAATCTTCTCGTCACTCCTTATCGTCCATCCTCTCCCACTTGTAACTGTATGACTGTAACTTTGTCGCTTGTATCCTTATGATTTATATGGACTGTTTCCTGGTATGATTTGATTGCTTATTGTACCTTATGACTATTATTAAGTATTGTACCTTATGATTCTTTACTCTTGACGAATGTATCTTTTCTTTAATGTACACTGAGAGCATATTCATCTTCCAGATTCATCATAAGTAACATTTAGTATACTTTAGCAACCAAGTAATCATCATAAATTTTTATCCAGTTCAAATTTAATTCTTGTGAAAACAAAATTATTTTATCAAGTTTAAATCTTTCAAAAATTCTATAATAATTAAACCAGTCACCAAATCCCTCACTTACTAATGGTTCTCTTGTCTTTATCTTGGGTTCTTCTTTTTCAAGTGCCAATAAGTTCTAGTATATTATCCATTTACATCCCAATCACTTCTCTGTTCTATATAGTGCTTCATGAGGTTATAACCAAGGTGGCACTCACTCTTTCAGGTAATCTTCTTTTATATTTCTGCCATACATGCCCATCAATTGCTTAATATGATTTTTAAAATCAGGGTTAACTTTTACTTTGTACTACCACAAATAGGCATGCCACCCAAATCACAAATCGGAGCCTTCAATGTCTAACAATCTTGAGTTTTTTAAAGTTATCCAATCTTTCAACTATATCAAACAAGCATCATAACATAATTAAAATCCGGCAAACCTAGACCACACCTCTCTTTAGAATCCTGTAAGAGCTTGTATTTGATTCTTGTTTTTTTATTTTGCCAAATGAATTTAGATATATATTTCTGTCACTGTTTAAAAGAAGAATTTTTAATCAATATCAGTGTAGTCTGGAATAGAAATAACACTAGGCAATAAATTTAATTACTGAAATTCTTCCATTAATGACAATTCTAGTTGTTAGTGTCTGTTTAAATCCGACTTTATCTCCTTCCATATTTTTACAGTTTTTAATATAACTTAGAATTTTCATTTGTAAGAATCACCCCCAAATATTTTACCTATTTTAAACCTAAAGTCCCAGTTCAAATTATCAAACATTTTTTCTGCATTTGGAAAAAATAGTGCAACCTGTTTGTCGCTGGTTGTTGTAAATGTTCAGTTACATTCAAGATTACTCTTACATTGTCTTTTAGTTGTCTTTTACATTAAAAAAATGCTGGTCTTTATGTATGCAATCCTGTAAAACTTTAAGTCTTTCGGCTAAGATAGATGCGAAACGTTTGTAAATGTTATTAAGAAGAGAAATTCTTAACTCTGTAATTCTTCAGAGGTTAGGTCCAGTCCTTCTTTAGGTTTAAAGAGATTAACAACCTGGTTTAAAATTGCAGCTGCTGCATTGCCTTAGCAGTTGTTCACTGTTATGACTGACAAGGACACTGCAAAGCTTCCTCTGCTATCTTCTCCACTCATCTCAACGGGTCCTCACAGGCCATTGACCTATTCCCAATCTGGCAACTCAGCCACACAAGGGATCCTAAAGCCAGGCAGAAGTAGTTACTAGTGCATAGAGGGCTGTTATAAGCCAGGCCAGTGCTATGGGATAAAAGGCGATGTGAGGCTCACTTTCTTATAGAAGCCACCTCATGGCAACCTTGTCCTATTCTGTAAGCAGGCACTATTCTCGCAAGCCTCTAGAAGGCTGTTTTTTTAAAAAAAGAGGTTTCGTTTGTGGAGTTTTCTTTAAAAGTGGCCCTCACCCACCAGAGGCTCACAAGAATAGTAACCTGTTTGCAGAATAACGCAAGGTGGCCGTGAGGCAGCCTCTGTAAAAATGGCTGAGCCTCACATCGTATCGGCCAGGTGCCTCTGTAAAAACACAAAGATAAATTGTGTGCCGCTTAGTCCTGGAGCTGGCTGAGGAATAGGCCAAATCTGTCAAGTCCCTTAGGTGGCTGCATGGGAAGCAGGCCGAGGCCTGCCAACTGCAACAGCTCCCCTCATACCGGCAGTTTCTGCTGCCTGGTTTTAGGCTTCCTTTAGTGGCTGGATGGGAAGCAGGCCAAGGCCTACCAAACAACAGCACACTGGTATTTTCTGCTGCCTTGGGAGCAGGCTGAGGCCTGCAGGGACCCTGAGAGGCAAGGAGAAAAACACAGGGCACTTCAAGAGGTGGCAGAGGTCTTGGGAAGCTTTAAATAGTTCTCTAAACCTCTTTGCTGGTGTATGTTGACATGAATAATGATGTGATTCTATGAGCACCTCCTTTTAAAAAAATATAAAATAAAAACTATTTCCCCAACTAAAGTTCTAAGGGCATCCAAAGCCCTTCTGCTTAAGCACAGATGGCAGTACTACAATTGCATAGGAATTACTCACCCAAGAAATCACAACACAAGAATGAATTATTTGAATTTTATTTAATCCGTGAAAATCTACCTTAAAAACAACATAGAAAATCAAAATATAATCCAATACAATCAATTAGAAGAAACTGCAAAAGCTTGGAGTTGAGGCACAAGCTAAAATTTGCAGCCTTGTCTGAAGTATTTTTGAGGCCAAAGCAACACGCTGTATCAAAGCACTATCTGTGAATGGAGACATGCTCCCTGCACCACAACAAATATTCTTTGGGTGCCTTATTTTTTGTTTTGAGACCACCAGTTGCAAGAAGAATGACTGGTTATATGATTTATGCTCTTGACATTGCTTAGAGAAAGGCCATAGTATCTTTTTGTAAAAAAAGTTCCCAAATTAAGCACTTGTTCCTCAGCTTGTACTCAGTAACTATTTACATTGTTATTACCAGATTTTATTTAAATGTTTAACTTTACACAACTATTAACAATCTTAGAGCTATAAAGGGAGATATAAAGTCCAGGATTACATAGGTCATGCCACTGCTGTATTTTGTATTATTATTTCACTTGCTGCAGCTTTCACAATAATGGCTTTCCATAAACAGATTATAGTTTGTTTAAATAATTGGTTTCCCATTAGCTGTTAAAATTGGTGCTATAAAATTAAAGTGACACCAAAACAAATCTTATTTTGAAGTGGGCTATACATAATAAACATTTCCTAATCAAGTGGGTCACATAAAGAGACTTGATCAGGCAAAAGGGAATTCCAGAAATAGGGGGGAAGGATAGATATATCAGTCTTAAACTGGAATTTCAGCAGATCTATTGAAAAAGATACCACAACACAGGAATAAGAGCAGATGAGTCACATTGCCGCTGCCTCTTCTTTTAGATGACTTAGAGGACCCTTGCTCCCTAAGAAAAATCCACACGTTTGTCTGAAGAAAAATGCTAAATAGTAAGTGACTTGTATATAGGGATTGTAGTTTTATATTTTATTTTTTATTGAAATTAAATAGAGCTATATTTCTTAATAATAAATACATTTGTGCAATTTATACTATCAACTTTCAAAAAAGAAATGTCCTAAGGAACTATAGGTTAACTTGTTCATTGGCTTTTCAAAGATAAAATTAACTTTATGAAATGCCACAAGGTTTTATTATTTAATAAAAGATCTAATGAAAGTGAGAAAGCTAGTGTCTTGCACACAGAACAAAACTTGTAGCTAGGGGAAATGATGTTATAATAAAGTACTGTATATGTCAATTAATTTTGGGACACTTATTATTGAACATTTTAAATATAAGCAGCTAAATAGACTATCTAATTGAGAGAGCTACAAGCTCTCCTTGTTTCCATCTTCAAGTAAATTAAGTTTTCTTACCTATTCTCTCACACTAAGGAATTATGGGACAACAATCCAGAGGTCTAGAAGTAAATACATTTGTGCAATCTATACTATCAACTTTCAGAAAAAATATTCTAAGGAGCCTATAGGTTAACTTATTCATTGATTTTGAAAGATAAAATTAACTTTATGAAATACCACTCAACTGGAGTGAACACATTATTTCATTATGCTCTTCTATCATGCCTAAGAAAAAGCACATAACAGCATATACACATTTTTATTGTTTAGTATTGAAAAGAAAAGTATACACATTTTGGAATGAAGAAGCTACTTTTTGTTGGCATATACTTGGACTGACAATTTTTAAACATTTTGATGAGGTCAATGTGATGTAGAAAAGATCAGACTTTTCCATTGCTCCAACAGAAATGTGGAAGCAAAGAGATCAAACTGAATTTCTGGAGGGATATTGTTTGGCAGGTTCAAGCTATGATTGCTATTCTGGCCAGGAAGAAACTACTCATTGCTTGTATGGCCTCTTCTTCCCTTTGGCACCACTTAATAGTTTCTGATGATGAGACAGGGCTTATTATATCTTGTGTCTTCCCTCACTGATGCATTTAAAACTGAAAAAAGTGCAAAATATTTCCTTATACCAAAATGACTGACTGATCTTTGGGTACCTGGATTCTACTGGGTTTTGTATCAATGAAGATAATCACTGAAACAGAATGATTGAATTAAACATATGCTAAAATAAACAGCCATTTATAATTTAAAAAGAAATTGCTTATATCTTGATATCGACAAATCCAGTATATGACTTTTCTTTTAAAAAAATCAAAGATTTTTTCTCACCATAGTCTAAGTGGATTTTTCTTTTTATACAAAAGGAGTAACATCTTTCACTATTAACTTGCACAAAACAGCCCAATGCAATGTCCATAATGCATGTACAGAATTGCATATTATTGTCATATTTGCCTTTTATAGCCAAGCTATTCTAGATATAATGTAGAATTAACTGTATGAAACACTTGCCGTTCAATATTTTAGCTGAATAAAAGTAGTATTATTAGCCAAAAGTTATCCTAAGTTATAAAATGTGTATAGTGACCACTAGATGGTGCAGTCATATCAATGATCTTTCTGTTTTATTCCACATTGTGCAGCTCTTAACAGTATGTATTTATAGGTTCCTGGATACATTTCAAATTAAATATAATACAGGTAGGACAATGAGCCTGATGGGCCTTGGAAAAAGCTCATTTAGATAGATATGAAGACTATAAAATACAATTTAATTTGACTAGCTATACAGCTTGGTGACTAGAAGATCAAATTCTGAAAGAAGAATATTTTAATGATTATTAAGTTACTGAGCATTTGAAGCCTGCCCATTTTGTGCGTGCAACTTATTATGACCTCATATTATAAACTGAACAAAATTGAGTTTATTTATTCCAGGCATCCTAAATCTTCTTATAATGCATTTATTTTGAATATGAATGCAAATATAAATGTAAGCCAAATCCTTAAATTATTTTAAAGAAATCACAGTGTACCTCACTGTTCATGAAGTATGAATTAGATTTACAATTTACTAACAGATCAAGAGAAGTTGTATTATTTGGCAATAACCTGAAATCAATAGCAAATACATCATAAAACATTTATTCTCACATTCCTTCAAGCAAATGGGAAACCAATGTTAAGTTGGTTGGAGCCATCTACGGTTAGTGATAGGTCGTTCATACTACCTCTTGGTCCAAACAAGTGAAATAATTGTCTTTTACATAGAAAGAAGAGGAAACATAAATAAACAAAAATTAAAATCCAGTTTGAGAAACATTGGTAGAAAGGGAATCTCAAAAGATGCCAACTTCCTTTCCAGATTAAGAGACTGACATCATTTCAACAGAAATACTTCTTGCCCCCATTCAACATCCCACCACAATCTCCTTAACAACAAAAATAAAGATAAAAGAATATTGTGAAAGTATTCACAATCAAAACTAAAGGAGGTGGCTCAAGCTCCTGATGGTAGCTCAGGATTGTCAGATGACTTCCTCAGAAAAACATCTGAAAGCACGGACATGTTCTCACAGCTAAATCATTGGTCTTCAGCCAGTTTAAGCAGAATCCATCCTTTTCTGCTACCTTCTTTGGGTACTGGTCCCTCCAAATGTAAGAAGCAGTCTTCAACAGAACTGTTGGAACAATAACAAAAAAAAAAAATCAAGAATGCCTTACAATCAGAGCATCTTAACTAATAATTTACATCAATAGCAAATCACAATATATTAAAGATAAGGACATGAATAATTTTACTTTTGCCAATTACTGTCTAGCAGTACTGTTCAAAGCTACCAGATGCACATAAATTGGAGATGGACGTCTTGGCCAAAGACAGACAACTCATGTATGACTATATGAAACTAGTTATTCCCCATTTTGCCCAGGTAACACCACTACTCAGAGAGCTACACTGTTTGCCTGTGGTCTTCTGGATGCAGCTAAGAGTGTTGGTTGTCAACATTAAAACCTTATATGGCTTGGAGAGGAAAGACGTTTGGAGACTTGAAAGTTTTATATTATGAGAAAATGTTTGTGATTGAATCAACATAGCATTTACTCAATGCAACAAGGTAAATGATTATAAACAATGTGTTATCGATTATTCTAATCTTTAATACGTACTTGGAGTGTAAAACTTTTAGAGTTCATTGGGACTGAAGTGGCTAATTACCCTGAGTAACAATAACAACAAAGGAGCCTAAAAGCTTACAATTCTAAAAGATGAATATATATTTTTAAAACTCTCACAGCACATTCTACAATAAAGAAACAAGCTATTGTTTGTAAATAAAAGGCGCATCTGTTTCTCAATCATTCTTTTCCTCCTGCTCCTCTTCTACTGTTAGATGGGAGCAATTCATATAATCCACTTCCATGTTTCTGCTTCAAGCATTCTTGTTACATATATGTTACGTTTGAAGAGAATGCTGTAACTGGCACTCTTGCCAGTAAGGCTGATAACCTAGTCCACACATTCTGTAACTTACTAACATCTAAGAAAACTGTAATGTGAAAATCTCCAATGGCCAAAGCTTTGATAGGTGATGGTAGTCAATATCTAGATTGCAACCTGGAATGAAATGTATGTAACAGATATAAGAACATATATCACCAAGATCGTTGAATGTACAAAAGTAGTTCACAGATTGGCAATAATTGTATTATAATGAAAGAAAAAGGATTGAATTTGTGTAAATATAGTACAAAATTATGAATGTTAGGTGACACCAATGGATGAATGGAAATAAGGCAGGGAACTAAAGAAAATGCAATGGAGGCACCTGGAGATAAATACGATATTATTTGATGGGAAAAAAGTCACAATTGCAGGTGCAGATGGTATTAAAATTGCATGGCTGCTGTAAAGAAAACACACTAGAAAAATAAAGCAGAGTTGTGGAAATCAGATAACTACAACAAGTGAAAAACATCTAACACAATTTCTTAGTCTGGAAGGCCTTGGAAGCAGTGGGGAAGGTGAAACAATGGCCATGCAACACATTTGGGGAACAAGTTAGGGAAAACTATGCTGAAGTCCCCCCTCCTCAACTAACTCTGTGGCAAATCTTATTTACTGAAATTAGAACAAGTCCTTCAAGCAGAAATCCAAAATACCACCTTAGGCATTTATTTCTTCCCCATTTCAAATAAATATTTTTAGCATAAATTATTTAGCTATTATGTATTGTTTTCAGAACCAGAAGTATATAAATATATTGCATATATTTTATCTTGTTGATAAAATCTGAAAAGATCTAATTATTTATTTAAGCTACTACAGATGAATTATTTTAGTTAAATACTTACATAAAACCTCAGAATTTTCTGAGTTTTGTCTGAAGTTGAGGACTGTCATCAGATATGGGGTCTTCCTCTTTAGGCATCTCAGGAAATTCTGTTGATTGACTGTAATCTTCTTTTCTCTTCCTCTGAGTCTGATGTTCTATTAACTTTTCTTGGTTTTCATCTATAAGCCCAACTTCTAAATCTTTTATGGTTGATTGTTCTGTTTCAAGAGATCCTACTGGATGATCTGCTGAGACAATATTTCCTAGCATGATGTTTTGAGTCTCTGTTGAAACAACTACATCCGCTTTTAATTGAGGCTTTGAATTGTATGTCTTACTTTCTGTTTCATTTAAAATCTCTTTCACAGTTTCAAGATCAGTGTCTGTCTTTCTGGAATTCCAGTTTTCTCTATCTTCAGAAACTATAGAATATGAAGGCATTTCTTTTGCTACTTCAATGGCGTCTTCTGTCTCTGCATTTACAGTTGCTGGCTGAATTTCATGATTTTTCTCTTCTGCCAGAGACACTTGGTGATCAACTTGTAAAACTTCCTGAATTCCACATTCATTTAAATCCATTAGACACAGTTCACTCTTCTGCTTTAAAGGAGAAATAGCCTCTTCTGATTGTTGAAATTGAGCAACTGCACTAATTTTCTGCACAATTTTGTAACTCTGAGACTCTATTGTTTCAGTCTGAACATATTTTGGAAATTCAGTAGAGGTCAGGACTTGTTCTGAAGTCATCACCTTTTGCTCAGCTTCTTCCTGAGATGAAGATGTTAGAAGCTCCATTTCTGGAGGTGATTGAGATGTACTCGTTTGTGAATGTTCTCTGGTGCATCTTTCTGCTAATTCTTCTGCAAATTCACAAGAGGGTATTTCTTCTGAAGTCATCATCACCTTTTCCTCAGTTTCTACTTCTGATGAAGATTTTGGCATCTCCATTTC